TCCTGCTGACTGTGAGTCAGGTAAGGGTGTGGTCTCATTCCCCTCACCTGCTGCTACACCCACATGTGGCCATGAGTGAGGAGGAAGGTGAGAAAGAAAGGGGAAGGCTGACAGCTGATCTTGAACACACCAGCCAACACCTGGTGCCTGAGTCAATGCAAACTTCCTGCCCAGCGCCTTCATTCCTGAGCAGCATTGTCTCTACAGAAATATTTAAAGTGAATGAAATTATTGGTCATCTGTGTTATGAGTAACAATCTGTTAAAATATGTCATTTCTCTTCAAATTAATGTTTAAATTGAAAGCAAGCCCAGTTAAAAAGGAAAACATGACTTTTGGTGGAATTTGGCAGAAAGAAAATTAGTATGCAAGAGGAACGTGAGACTAGTGGAGACGATTTCTAAAAGAATTGTCAACAAGAAGGGCTTCCCTATAAAAAGTCATTTTAATTAAAAGCACACAGGATCGACAGAAAAGGATAGTCTCAAAAAGACCCATGCTGTTTAGGGAATTTTGTGTTGTGATACAAACTCAGTGGGAACAGGGTTGAGCATTCAATAAATCAATTGGCCATCCATTTGGGGAAATCAATAAACTTGGATCCCTGTTTCACACTGTAATTCCAGATGGATTAAAGGCTAACCCTGAAAACTCTGCCACAAAGATAAAAGGGAGTGGTGAGGACCGTGTGTGAGTTAGGGCCGGAGAAGGCATGAACAACCATACAGGGAGAAAGCCATACGTTTGACTACATGAAAATGAAAACCCGTGTCTGTCGAGAGCTAGCGTAAACAGACTGAAAAGAGCAGCACTAGACTGAGCGGAATGTTTGCCAGTCTACTGCAGACAAAGGATTACCATCCAAAACTTGCAAGGAAAATCCTGATACTCAAAAAGAAAAAAGCATGTAACAAAATGGGGAAACAGGCCGTGAATACATAAAAACAAAAGAGAAAACACAAATTCTAATGATGTATGAAAACATGCTCGGGAACCAGCAGTTAGCGTAATGGCTATGTCGCTGGACTCCCACGTAGTCGACCGCGGTTCGTGTCCCGGACCCGGTGGCTTAAAACTCACGCCGGGCGCGTGTGCGTGCGTGCCCAAGATCCCGAGAGGAGAATGGAGGAGAAGGGATTGCGGCGTGACCATCCCCCCTGGGGGGTGATTTCTCGCTTTCTGTCTCTATGTCTCTCTCTGTCTGTCTGGCGAGCGCACGCGCCCTACAGTGAAAAAATCTCTCAAAAAAAAAAAAAAAAGAAAACATGCTCAACCTCATTGGTAATGTTGAGAGAAAAAGGGAGATAATTCCCCCAGAGAGGCAGAACTTAAATAAAATGTTGGTAAGTTCATCTTCTTTAAGTCGTGCAAGTGTGAAACAGCACAGCCGCATCATGCCTCCCTTCCTCTGGCCTGGAAACCTCCGGGAAGGTTCAGAACTAGTCAGTGGCCAGTAGCAGTGATGCTGGGTTGGTGCCTGCCAGCAGCTGTTTTCCAACCCAGTGGACAGATGCACTTGAAAAGCATGCTGCAGGATGAGACGCAGCACTTTCTGCAGCCTGCTTCTTGGTTTTGGTTTTGGTGTTTTTTTGTTGTTGTTGTTGGTTTTTTTTTTTTTAAGAAAATTTAAATAACTTGTTCATGGTTACACTGGAAGCAAGGGATAGAGTCAGGTTTCAAACTCAGGTCTCTATGTCTCCAAAGTTTAAGCTTTAACATACAATTTTTGTTCTATTTAAAAAGATTTTAATGGGACCAGCAGTTAGCATAATGGCTATGTCGCTGGACTCCCATGTAGTCGACTGCGGTTCAAGTCCCGGACCCGGTGGCTTAAACTCACACCGGGCACGTGTGCGTACGTGCCCAAGATCCTGAGAGGAGAATGGAGGAGAAGGGATTGCGGCATGGCCATCCCCTTTGAGGGGTGATTTCTTGCTTTCTATCTCTCTGTCTCTCTCTCTGTGTCTGGCAAGCGCACGCGCCCTATAGCAAAAACCTCTCCAAAAAAAGAAAAAAAAAGATTTTAATAAGCAGTGTTTTGATTTCCTTTATAATTTTAATGCAGCCTGCTTCTTGTGAAAACTGGTGACCAGAGGATGGTACCGTTCATTTCTCATTTATTTCTCAAGCTAGTGAATCACCATGGAATGGGCCTAGTCCTTAACTAAGCAAGCTGCCACCATCCCATTTGTCCTGAGGGCCTGCAGTGCCCCACCCTCCCCGTCCCCAACTCTAGGTAGTGCCCAAGCAGCGGCACCTGATTTCAGGCTGGTCCTCAGTGGCTTGCAGACAGCAATGCACATCTGTGCTGAACAGGAATCATAAGGCTTGGCACCGTGTGGTTTCCTGATACCCATTAGAAGTTTTTCAATTAATTTGAGTAAGAAATTCTCCCTGACTTTTGCCTAGCTAATAATACTGAATTTTATTAAAAAAAAAAAAAGTCTTTCTCAAAATGCAGTATTTGAAAAGGTGCTCTCAGCCCCGCCTGCGCCCTGTAACCTTGCCCTGGGATCTGTCACAGCACATGTTATTGGTGAGACCAGAGGTGGACAGTGAAATTAGGAACTTTGGTAATGAAGATTCCTTTCTTTTCTGTGTAGATGACATGTTTCTGTCCCGTTGATGGTCTTACTAGCAGATACCATATTGAAAATGATTCTCGTTTTGCTTTCAAATCAGACATAACTAGCATTTTATGTTGCCTTGAAAGCAAGTGTGTGTTAATTGTGTTGTTATGCAGCTGGGTGAGTTGAATATTTAGGGTTTGAGTAAGGTCGCCTTTTTTTTCGTTTCTTTTTATAAGCTTATATCTGTGAGAGAAATTGCTTCACATAATCACTGTTAGTCATTTCTAGTGGGAAAAATGAGATGGGTTGTGATTGATTTAAAATATGTGGAAAAAAATTTCTCATATTTAAAAAAAGACATTACATGAGTGAGTCACTACCACTGTGAAATGTCCAAGTGTAGAGAATATATAAACGTTTTTTAGGACCAGCAGTTAGCGTAATGGCTATGTCGCTGGATTCCCACGTAGTTGACCGCAGTTCGCATCCCAGACCCGGTGGCTTAAAACTCATGCTGGATGCATGTGCGTACGTTCCCAAGATCCTGAGAGGAGAATAGAGGAGAAGGGATTGCAGCGTGGCCATCCCCCCTGGGGGATGATTTCTCACTTTCTGTCTCTCTGTCTCTATCTATCTGTCTGGTGAGTGCACGTGCCCTATAGCAAAAAAAAAAAAGAGAGAGAGAGAGAATATATAAACGTTTTCAAAACAAGTTTAACCATACACTCCCAACCAGAAGGAGCCATTCAAATGCCAAACAGAGGCACGTCAGGCTGTGCTTGGCTCCATGATCCTGGAGGTACTACCTGTAGGAATCATTCCTACCTATTTACCTGTATGAACCTCCCCATCGATTTCCTCCCTAATTCGTCTGAACTTTGTGTTTTCTTATTCAATCATTTCTGCCCTGGCCCTGTTTTCTTTCTTAGTGTAAGCTGTAGTTTTCCACTGAATCTTTTTTTTTTTTTTTAAGTTTACTTATTTAGTTGGTTCATGAGAGAGAGAGAGACAGAGAAAAAGAGACAGAGACAGAGAGAGAAAGAGATACCCTCAATAGGATCTCACGCCATGACCTCTACCCCTTTTCTCCCCGGCCTGTCAGCCAGCCAGTATCATGCGCACACACATGCATGCCTGACATGTACAAGTTAATTCAGGAACCAAACCCTGATCTCCCATATGGCTTCCAGCATTGCATGGCATTGTACGACCATTATGCCGCCACTGCCAGGCCTAAATTTGATTTTAATGCCACCCTGGCCCAGTTGGTGACACAGTCGTGTGACTTTGCCCTTCTTCTTTTTTGATGTAATAGGCAGCACTCACATGCTTGTGTTGGAGAAAGCCCAGTGCTTTTTGGTGGGTGTGTGTTGGCAGTTCTCTCTGTGCTAAGTTTTGGGGGTACAAAGAAGCAATCACTACACTTTCCCTGTAGGGGGAGACAGAGCAGAAAACGCGTGATGGGGTGTATGGTAGGCCTGGCTGCCATCAGCTCACTCAGAAAGTAACCTTTGTCTCCCTTTCTCCTCCCAGAATCATTGATCAGCGGTTTGAGAAGGTTTCCTACTTTGTCTTTGGAGATTTCAACTTCCGACTGGATTCCAAGTCTGTTGTAGAGGTAGGCACCATGGTGTCCACCACATGGCCTGGGCATTATGCTTCACTTAATTGTATTAAGAAAAATTACAGAAAGAATGTTGTCATTTACAGCCAATTAAAGTGTCAGTCTCACTGGTTACATTTTCAAAGGCAAAAACTCTTAATAAAGCAACATTTCTTTTTTTTACTATCAAAGAGGAGGGTTTTCTTTTTAATAAGAATTAGGGAACGAGTTAGCATCCATCAGAATTATATAGTTGGTAAGTTAGCAGTGACCAGCCTTCAGAGCACATGCTATGCTCTAAGTTCTGGTGTCAACTTATAAAAAAGAAAATCCTCAAGAGAAACACCCAAAGGCTGCCCCTTTGACACATGCAAAGCTGAAGCTTGTCAAGCTCCTCATGGACTACTTTCCCACTTTATTTCAGCTATTTTTCACTCATCACGCATGTAAGAACTATAAAACCCATTTTGATTTTACACCTGTCTGTCTGCAGACTATTCTCTTTGCTTTATTAATAAACCATTGGTGTTTCTTGATCTTTGGGAATTCAGAGGCCACCTGTGGCTCATGGGTATTCTCTTTGGGCTGGGCTTTGGGGTTTCCTGGGATCCCAGGAGTGACAGAGCCACTGAAAAACCTTGACTTGAGGACAACATGGTTGCTGAGGTCAGAAGCTATGAGACCAGAGTGTGTCACCACGCAGGAGTCAAGTCATGTGGCTTGTCATGAAGGCCAGCTTTGCTCTGTAGTGAGGTCTCTGTGGGTGGGCAGCAGTAGCAGCTGCTCAGCTCTGGCGTATGGGGCAGAGGGCTCTCCTGTTCCTGGCTCTTCTTGTTCTTGGGTGACCTTGGAACTTAGCTTCCCAGGCAGCAGCAAAGGGAAGATGCAGAAAGGCAAAAAAAATCCCACCACTTTCCACCCACGCCTGCACAGGGAGGAACAGATCACGTGACCTTTGAAAGGACTGGGCACATATTTGATAGTCCACATGTGGATGCCACCATGGAAACCAGATGAAGACAGGATGGGCCCTCTAGGTTATTATCTTCCCAGTAGTAGTCTTTATTTCAAATACCATCACATGTTAATCTTCCATCCTTGTAGGAAATTACTTCTTTGAGACAACTGAGCAGACTTTCCATCATCCTGTGTCCACTTTTGGTTGACAGAAACGAGTAATCTGCTTTTGAAATTTCTCTTTTTTAAAAAACTTGATTAAGTTGATGGTACCTCACCAAGCAAGGCCTTATAACATGCATGTATGTAAATATTTGGCTAAATAGGTGGGTTTTCCTGGATGTTTAGTGACTCCTTCTAGAAACATAGCTTCATCTAACATGGAGGAGGAAGGCAGGAACTTTGGTGTGGGGAAGAGTGCTGTAGACCACGTGCAGTTTTCCAAAAAGAGACAAATTCCACTGGATTTTTTTTTTTTTTTTGAGAGAAAGAGACATTTTTGCTATAGGGCATGTATGGTCACTAGAGAGACAGAAAGTGAGAAATCATCCCCTGGAGGGGATGGCCATGCTACAATCCCTTTTCCTCCATTTTTCTCTTGGGATTTTGGGCACACATGCATATGTACCCAAAATGAGTTTCAGGCCTCCAGGTCCAGGATTCAAACCATGGTTGACCATGTGGGAGTCCAGCCACTTAACCACTATGCCACCTGCTAGTCCCACCTTTTCTTCCTTTGGCTGGGTTTTCTTCTTACACTTGGAAGTTGCAGAAGTAATCAGTCTGATATGAGGGTCCTGCAGGCTCTGTGCCCCTCTAGAACACCAGAAGTTCTGCGTGTCCTTGTGGAAATGTCTGTCCCTACATCTGAAGCATGAGTGAGGCCCAAGGGCCACAGAGGCCAGCAGAGCCTTACCAAAAGTCACCTCAGGCATCGACCCTAAGCCAGACTGAGCTGAAAAGCCACATTTTGAACAGCTCCTGACTCTCTCACTCCTACATCTCTGAGCACAGTCATTTCTGACTCAATCCCTGGGAACTGGTGAATCTGCTGTGCACAGAACAGTTTCCCCACTCTCCTAGAGGCTTCTGCACTGACTGAGAACAGCCAGTAGTAAAGGTAAAGAAGAACCCTGGAAAGACCAAAGCAGATCAATCCAGAGTCGCCCAGCGATTAGGAAAAGGTCAGAGGAGCTTCGAAAGTGGCCTTTTCCTCCGGGTAGAACAAATATCACAAAAAAGGGCAACTAGTCCTGATTTGGGTCAGAATTGTTACCAGGTGTGCATTCTGAGTTTGCCCCTGGGGAAATGTGTTTCTGTGGTGAAGACAGTGAGCTTCTGAACCAGGCAGTTTGGCTAAGGTGGGCACACAGCACGGTGGGGCAGCGGGGAGCGAGGACACTATGGGTCCTGCAGGGGCTTCTGGCATCTCAGGTTGAATGGGCATGCTAGGCACAGGTCCTTGGGTCACTGTGCAGAGGCAAGAGTGACCCATCTGAAGAATTATGGAGCTTTTCTTTTTTACCAAGTGGAAAAGCAAGAAAGCATCGAATTTGAGTTTGAATGCAATGTAACTGTAGGAGTCTATATCTGTGTTTGAAGCAGCTTTGTAGCCAACTCAGCACATTAGTGACATGCCCTGTTTTTTTATTTATCATGTAACTTGCTCTCCTGACTTTCCCAAATGTTTTTACACACTACTCTTGATCCTCATCCTCACCTTCAGCAGCAGCGCCTGCTCTCTAAGATCGGGCCTGTTTCTGAATAAAGAGTTTCCTGACACACAGCTGATTATGGCAGGGGGGGGGGGCGGGCCGTCGC